CATTGGAGTGGGAACCATCAAATTGAAGATGTATGATGGAACAATCAAAGTTGTTCGAGATGTGCGACACGTGAAAGGCCTGAAGAAAAATTTATTATCCTACGGATTGTTGGATAATAATGCAAGAAAGATTGAAACACGGAAAGGAATCATGAAGGTGTTCTGTGGAGCGCTTGTGGCGCTGAAAGGTGAAAAGATAGCAGCAAACTTGTACATGCTGAAGGGAGAGACTGTGTTAGAAGTAGAAGCCTCTGTTGCCTCATGTAGTTCATATTCTGCAATGCTATGGCATCAGAAACTTGGACATATGTCAGAACAAGGAATGAAAGTTCTTGTGGAGCAAAAGCTACTTTCAGGCTTAACAAATGTATCACTTACTTTGTGTACGCATTGCATAACAAGTAAGCAGCACCGGTTGAAATTCAACACGTCAAATTCTGGAGGCAAAAATGTTCTTGAATTGGTTCATTCTGACGTATGACAAGCACTAGTTACATCCATAGGTGGAGCAAAATACTTTGTCTCATTTATTGATGACTACTCTAGGAGATGTTGGGTGTATCCTATTAAGAAGAAGTCAGATGTGTTTTCAACTTTCAAAATCTTCAAAGCGCGGGTGGAACTTGATTCTGGAAATAAGATCAAGTGTTTCAGAACAGATAATAGAGGAGAATACACAAGCAAATAATTTGATGACTTTTGCAAGAAAGAGAAGGCATCAAAAGACAGTTCAAAGTGGCAAACACTCCTCAACAAAATGGAGTGGCAGAGAGGATGAGCATAACCTTGTTAGAAAGAACAAGAGCAATGTTGAGGGATGCATGCCTAGAAAAATCATTCTAGGCAGAAGCAGTCAATACCGCTTGTTATTTGGTGAATCGAGCTCCATCAACTGCAATAGAGTTGAAGACACCAATGGAGATGTGGACTGGTAAACCAACTGATTATTCAAACCTCCATGTATTTGGAAGTATTGTGTACGTGATGTACAACTCCCAAGAAATCTCAAAGCTGGATCCAAAATTCAGGAAATGCAAATTCTTGGGGTATACTGATGGTGTAAAGGGGTATCGCTTGTGGGATCCCACTGCCCGCAAAGTGATCATTAGCAGGGGTGTTATCTTTTGTAGAAGATAAGCTACAAAGAAAAAGAAGAAGTTGTTAGTGCTGAAAAGTCAGAGACTACACAGATACCTGTGGAAAAGGAGTTTGAACAAGTACTTCTGAAACAGAACCAGCACATGATGAACAAGAACCAGAGAGTTCTGAAGCTCCAACAACTCGTCAATCAGATCATGTGAGAAGACGTCCCAATTGACACTCAAATTATGTTATAGAATGTAATATTGCATACTGCCTTTTAACAGAGGACGGTGAGCCATCAACATACCAGGAGGCAATAAACAACTCAGATGTTTCACTATAGATGATGACGATGCAAGAGGAAATTGAAGCCCTTCATAAAAATAATACATGGGACTTTGTGCCACTACCACAAGGAATGAAGCAAATTGATAACAAATGGGTCTTAAAAATCAAGCGAAATGGTGACGATCAAGTTGAGAGGTATCGTGCAAGACTGGTGGTCAAAGGATATGCTCAAAAAGAAGGTATTGATTTCAATGAAATATTTTCTCCTGTGGTTCGACTAACAACAGTTTGAGTAGTTTTGGCAATATTTGCTACATTGGACTTACATCTAGAGCAGCTAGATGTTAAAACAGCTTTTCTTCATGGAAATCTTGAAGAAGGGATTTACATGTTCCAACCTGAAGGTTTTGAAGAAAAAGAAAAGAAGAACTTGGTTTGTAGGTTGAACAAATCTATGTACGGTCTAAAGTAGGCGCCGAGATGTTGGTATAAGAGATTTGATTCCTTCATTATGTGCCTTGGATATAACAGACTTAATGCATATCCTTGTGCTTATTTCAAGAGGTCTGGTGATAACGATTTTGTTATATTGTTGTTGTATGTGGATGACATATTGGTTGCAGGACCCAACAAAGATCATATTGACGAATTGAAGGCACAACTGGCTAGGGAATTTGAAATGAAGGACTTGGGATCAGCAAACAAGATTCTAGGGATGCAAATTCACCGAGAAAGAAGTTATAGGAAGATTTGGCTTTCACAAAAGAATTACTTGAAGAAGATCTTATCACGATTCAACATGCAAGATTGTAAGTCGATTTCTACCCCTCTTCCTATTAACTTCAAATTATCCTCCAGTATGAGTCTTAGCAGTGAAGAAGAGAGGATGAAGATGTCTCGAGTACCGTATGCATCGGCAGTGGGAAGTTTATTGTTCGCTATGATATGCACAAGACCAGACATTGCACAAGCAGTAGGAGTGGTTAGTCGGTACATGGCGAATCCAGGCAAAGAGAATTGGAATACAATAAAGAGGATCCTGAGATACATCAAAGAAACCTCAAATATTACATTATATTACGGAGGATCAAACTTACTAATCAATGGGTATGTAGATTCTGACTATGTAGGAGATTTGGATAAAAATCTACTACAGGATATGTGTTCAAAATTGTTGGTGGAGCTGTAAGCTGGGTTTCAAAATTGCAGTCAGTTGTGGCTACGTCAACAACAGAAGCAGAATATATAGCAGCTACACAAGCCAGTAAAGAATCAATTTGGTTGAAGATGCTATTAGAGAAGCTTGGGCACAATCAAGAGTATGTCTCTCTGTTTTGTGACAGTCAAAGTGCCTTGCATCTAGCAAGGAATCCATCATTTCATTCAAGGACAAAACATATACGAGTTCAGTACCATTTCATTCGTGAAAAGGTGGAAGAAGGGACAGTAGATATGCAGAAGATCCATACCAAAGACAACATATCAGATTTCATGACAAATACAATCAATGTTGATAAATTTACTTGGTGTCGATCCTCTTGTGGTCTGTCAGAGACATAAGCAACATGATGGTACAAGGTAGAAAGAATGACATGAAGATATGATTATTGCAATCAAATCTTCAAGTGGGAGATTGTTGAAAATAGGTGCAAAAGCACCGAAAATTGGGGAAAAACAAATGCACCGAATTGTGCATTTTCAAAGTCAAGATTTAACAGCAGAATTTCTTGAAAAATAAAAGAGAAAATTACCAATTTTTAGTCCCTAGACTTTAGGGTATTTATAAGATTAGTCTTTAGGCTTCAACTATAAATACCCTAGCTCATTTAGCTTCAAAATCATCCCAAAACATTCTAGCTTTCTTCCAATACTAGAGAATTTAGAGAGTTTCTTGAGAGTTGTTTTCTCCTTTTTATCAAGAGAGAATTATCATTGTTTTCTCCTTGGTAGATCGAGAGAAGTTGTAATTCCTATTTTCTCATAGTGAAATTCTTCTACCGTTGCCCGTGGTTTTTACCCTATATTATTTAGGGGTTTTCCATGTAAATTGTGTCTCTTTTATCTTCATTTTTATTTTCTCAAATTATTAGTTGCGATTTTGCTCTATCCGATAGCCGTCTTCCGCAATATATATATATATATTATTTTTTCACATGTGATATGCATATATTGTGTATATATAGTTGAGAGATTTATCTCAAACTTGAAAATTAATTTATTAATTATTAAAAGTTTTGAATTATTTAAGTCATATTTTATAACTCAAAATTTTGTTTAAACTTTTTTTTAACTAAATCAGATTTATGAAATTACAAATCAAATAAAATAATTAATCTTTCTAATAAAGTACAATTTTAATCACTCCTAATTATATTATGCCATGCAGGAGACGTTCTGAAAAGTGAAAACAGTGGTCTACAGTTCGCATCAAGTCGTTGGATCAAGTCAACTTAGAAGTCAACAAATGTTAATTAAAGCTTAAACATTATTCTTAATATTCAAATGTCTGTTTTAAAAATCGAAGTCTAACAATTAACCCGTATTTAAAATAGCAATGAGAATTACCAATTAGTGCCCCTCTGTAAACAAAACTCCACCAATCCCTAGTGGGTTTTGTGTAAATGAGTTAATCCAAATGAGAATTACCAATTTACCATATAACCAAGTAATAAATAAAGCACAATACAATTCTAATGTTCTATAAGTAAATCTCTATTTTGTTAGGACAAATAATGTTATTTTCCCAATAATATTATTAACGTTTAATTCATTGAAGATTGATCTCATTAAAGAAAACAAAGGGAGTTGGGAGTTTGTGGTTGGCATGTTATGTTAGTGGAAGAAAAAAAAACTATAGGTGTTATTCAATCGCAGAATTACCAATAACCCACATTGCCCTTTATAATAACTTTAAATTATGGGTAAGCTACTTATTTTAAAAAAAAAATTATTATTAATATTACTTTTTAATTTTATTTTAGTTATTTGTTGTTAAAAATTAACGATATACTAATGTGATATACTAATGTGTTACCATAAGATAATACCTCATCATCATTGAAAAAAATATCACGTCATGAGCTCTATTATTATTATTATTTTATTAAATTAAGATTATTATAATAATATCACTAGCTCTATTAATTTTATAATGATAGATAACTAAAATAATACCAAAATATAACACCATATGATTTTTAAAAAAGGGTAAACTATAAAAATAGTCAATGAACTTTAATGGTGCATGTATTTTGGTCATCTAACTTTTAAAACTTGCAATATAGTCATTGAACTTGATGTTAGAAGAAGAATAAGAAGAAGGGTTAACGGTAGGTAACATGTCACATTAGATAAAATTAATGGGAGGTAACATCATGGACCTATTGAAAATGAACTAAAAGTTCAGTGATTTTAATGCAAGTTTTTAAAGTTAGGTGACCTAAATGCAAACACCCTAAAAAATTAGAATCAATAATAGATATGACTAAATGCACAATTTACCCTTAAACTATTTATATATTCATAAATATATCATATTATCGTGGTTGGTAATAGCGTACAAAGAATTAGGTATAAAGATTTCAAAGTAAGTAATTATCTACCTGCCCCTCCCATACCTACCTTGACCATTCTGTTGTGGGTTGAGTGCTTCACTAAAGTTATCACCTCTTTCTTCATCAATAATATCTATATAATCCACACTTGCTTACTGAACTGAAGCAATAACGCCGATTTCCACATATTTGTGCTTCCGATCATGGCGACGAGTGAAGTGAAAGTTCTGGGTTCGTGGCCGAGCCCATATGCAATGAGGCCGAGGATCGCCCTTAACATCAAATCGGTGGACTATGAATATATAGACGAGAAGTTATGGGAAGGCAAAAGCCAGCTTCTTCTCCAGTCGAATCCGGTTCACAAGAAAATCCCAGTCCTCATCCACGGTGATCGTAAGCCCATCTGCGAATCTCTCATCATCGTACAGTACATCAACGAGACATGGTCTGCCGGTCCTTCCATCCTTCCTTCTGATCCCTATGAACGCGCCGTCGCTCGTTTTTGGGCTGCATATCTTGACGATAAGGTATTCCATATTTCGCACTTGAATACAAGTTTGTTTGCTTTCTCGGTAGCTGCTCTAACTGAGCTGAGTTACTCGTAATCGTTTAAGCTTGACTCGATTAAAAATTTAATTAATATATAATTCGAATTTAAAATTAATTCAAGACTTTTATAAATTGAGTAAAATAAATCGTTACTCGTTTAATTTTTTTATACGTTTTCAAAATTTTAATTGTCTTGTTAATTTTTTAAATAATAAGTTAATTTAGTATATTTGTGGAATATTTCGAAAGTTGTAATATGTTAATGTAATATATTTATAGACTATTATTTTAGAGTCAAACTTTAAATTGTTTTACTCGTCATTTTGATTATTTATCAAATATCGAGTTAAGTATGAATGGAACAGTTTTAGAGCTGAATAGAATATTATTAAACTCGTAATCGATTCGCGTGATAAGTATACGGGTCAAGTACTTGAGTTGTTTTGTTGTGCAGTGGTTCCCGGCGGTGAAAAGCGTGGGGATAGCTAAAGGAGATGAAGAGAAGAAAGCGGCGATAGCGCAGGTGGAAGAAGGGCTGGCATTGATGGAAGGAGCGTTCGGCGATTGTAGCAAAGGTAAGGGTTTCTTCGGTGGGGATGAAATCGGGTACCTTGATATTGCTTTCGGGAGCTTCTTGGGATGGCTTAGGGTGACCGAGAAGTTCAACGGGATGAAGCTGCTTGACGAGGGCAAGACTCCTGCTCTGGTTCGTTGGGCCGACAGATTCTGCTCCCACGGCTCCGTCAAGGATGTTATGCCCGACACCGACAAGCTTGCGGAGTTTGGGAAGATGGTTATTGCCAAAATAAGAGCCGCCGGCGCTGCTGCTGAAAGGCATTGAAATTGAGACAGGAGAGGTTCTTGAACTAAATCAATATTGTATGTGGTTTCTTTACTTTTTATGATGATAAAAGTTCTAAGCTTTTAGACAATGCCTTTTCTCAATGTATTGGCTTTTGTATTTGAATTCAGTGATCCTCGAATTAATACCGTCTCTATCTCAATTTCCTAACTCTTAGTAGTCGTTTAATTATAAATTTAAGTATTCTTTAAAAAATTGATTTACATATCATTTTTTACTAATCAATTAATAACGAATGTATACACATTTTATAAATGTAAATGTTTAAATCGAGATTTTTTATTTTTCTTTTTTATTGAGATCATTTGATGTCTAATGAATTCATAAATATGTTATTTCAAAGATAATTTATTTAAAAGTATGATTAAATTGAGAGAATATATAAATAATAGGGATCAAATGTATGATTATACCAACTATCACGTCATATATTATGTTAATTGTTAACATCAATAAACCTATGATGACCACTTGCTAATTAATTTAAACAGAAATGATCTTATCTTAATTAAATAAAAACGAAAGTGAACTTATCTAAATTTTTTTAAATCAATGATCAAAAGTGGACAAAATACAAACACAAGTGATCTTATGTGTAGTTAATCCTTTTTTCTTATTTATTTACGTATCAAGAGAATCTGAAAATACGTATAAAAATTAAAAGGATAAATTACGAATTTAGCCCTTAACTATTCTAAAAATTCTATTTTGATAATCTAATTTTTGTTTTCAAAATCATACATAAATTTACGTTTTGATAATATGTTGTTAAAAAATTTAACGATAATATCACCATAAGATAATGTCAGATCATCATTGAAAAAAAAGAAATTAGCATATCAACCGTTATGTTTTTAAACGACATGTGATCAAAACGAAACTTTAAATATGATTTTAAAAAAATAAATAATTTAATAACTAATTAAATAAAACTACAGAAATAATTGGATGACTAAATGCATAATTTATCCAAAGAAAAATTATCAACACCAGATTATGGACACGAAAGTTGGACGCCATTCTTGGTGGTGGAGTGGGTAGGATGTAATTTATTAATCAAATCTCCTTCCAATACTAATTAATTTAATGTTTTTAAATATAAATTTAGTGATTAAATTTTAATATTATGAATGAAATAAATTAAATTAAAGAAATATTAATTCTTATAATATTTTATTCAAATTAATCCATCAATTATCATAAGGTTCATTTTGTTGCAAGTTGCTGCATGATATTCAAGTACCAAAGTGAAAAATCTGATATAGTTCAAGGTTAAATCTCGAATAAACCCTCTTTTTATTCTACATGCAAGTGTTAATATGGTCACACAAACCATTGTAATGTTAATGTACATTATGTAAGCTATACACTTGAAACAATGATCACCATTCACCAGTAATCCGAGCACGAGCAAACGCCGTCTTTGAAGCGACGAAATCGGACACGATCTCGTACGATGATCTCGACATCTAAAGAACCGCATTTGCAGTACATATCCACCAATGAATTGTTTATCAGCACATCAATAGACGCATCAAAATCACATATTTTCAACAAATAAGCGTGAACTCATGCACCCAAAGACAGTGGCCCGCCCCAAGACCAGTACAAACACTTATAACGCTTTGCAGCGTATACCCGTCAGGATCGAACGTCTTCCGCATTTCCCCGAACAGGTTTAAAGCGCTATTAAACTTACCAAACTGAACAAAACCTTCAAGCAAAACATTCCAGGAAACCACGCTTCTTTCAGGCATTTTCAAATTTCTAAAACATTACAAATTTCTACTGAATTACACTAGACCCAACCTATGTGTCACAACTAGGTCTACTGAATTACATTACAAATTTCTAAAACATTTTCAAAACGTAACATTAAATTTCCAAAACATTTTTAGATCAAAATAATGTTATCAAAATCAATTCTAATATTATAAAACATAAAGTTATGAGCAAAGAGGAATAACAAGTAATGTCAAATGTAATAGTATCAAACATCCATACATCAGTAGTCAACAAAAAGGTGTCATAAAATAAGTATAACAAAACATATAGTCATGTGTCACAAAATAAAGGCAGTTCAGAAGATGGAAACATTACAACAAAATGTGTCGATCCTCTAAGTGTTTGGTTCAGGGTACCTATCTAAAAGTATCTGAAAGAGAAAAGTTCAGCGGGTGAGCTAGGGAGTTCAGTGTTGTCCCAACAGTGCAACATAAAAACATACATATATGTCTTAAGAAAATAGTTTAGTTTCATAATATGAAAATGAAGGTAAAGTTTTCAATAAAAACATTTAATTACCCTTCAACCAAACACTATATGTAGTTCCGTAGAATTGCTCCATAAGGACTTACCCTAGGTCCACTGTGCGTAAGAGCCAACATAAGGGAGTATCTTGGGGCATCAGGGCCTACCCAAGGGAGTACCTTTGTGCCTAAGAGCCTACCCGATGATTACCTTATGTCCGTAAAGATTTACCAGTTTGATCAGAGCTGAACTTGTATACTCTAGAATCCTACCCAGAAAGTATCACAATAAAACAATTCAGGTAGTAAAAGTAGTTCCATGATCCATAAATCAACCATATTATATTTTCCAGTTAAAACAAATAACCACAGAGCATGTATCAGGCAAATATAGTTCATAACGGGTAAATCAGGAAATCATGATATCGATAAGGTAAAACATTTATAAATCAATTCAGGTAACCATCATATTTCAGAACAGATAAAACAATTATATAGCACACAAGGAACACACCTAAAAAAGATCGGTACGGAAGGCCTACTGAGCACCGACCTTGTTACGATCTACAATAGTACTCAGTGAAGGGATGGTGGATCTTGATGAAGGGATGGTTGGGTTTTGGTCACGAGTCGATTGCAAACACGTTGGTGGTGGCGGTGTACGTCACGGTGACTGGACGACGACGATTTTTCTATGAACGATGAGAAAATTAAAATAAAATTTGAGGGTTAGGAATTTGGCTTGATTTTAAACTGGAAAGAGATTTAGGGATTTAAAATCACAGCTAAATAACAATAAAATATATTTTCAATAAAATAATGGCAAACAATGGCTTAGGTTATGTGCTAAAGGCATGGTTGATTGTATGCTAAGTCACAGGTTCAAGGCTTGTGAACTTCACCTTTTTATTTATTTATTTGCTCTGTAGAGATGAGGTGGGTAAAGTCAAGGTTGAGTCCTTGAACTTCTTGAAACTTCAAAAATTGGCCTCAAGTCTCCATAATCTTTTAATTTGGTCCATTAAAATTCCAATTAATTAAGAAATTAAATTAAACTAAAAATTAAGGGTGTGATATGCCAAGTATAATGACATGTGTCATTATCTGATTGGATGATTAAATTTATTTTTAATTTAATATAATTTTCTCACCGATCAAAGGGTGACACATGTCACCCTATACAGGAAAGAAAATTTTGGGTGCTTAGATAATGTCTAGAGGAATCAAACTTGGGGTTCTTAGGTTGAAGAAGCAAAACTTAACCATTAAGCAAAATAGTTAGTTTAAACTTCACTACATATATTATATATATTGTATATTAGTGTAAACTTAAATTCTTAATATTTTATATATCTTAAATTAAATTAACATATTAAATTAATTTTACATCTTAAAATTAAAAATATTTTTTTCTTAACTTATTAAATATATTTTATTCCTATTTTAATTTAAAAATATATTTTAATCTAATTTAAATTAAAAATATATATAATTTATTCTTATCTTAACTTAAATATTTATATTTTATTATGATAATATTTTAAATTTAAGATAAAAATATAATATATTTTTTAGTTAAGATAAAAAATAAAATATATTTTTTAATTAAAATAAAAATATATTTTTAAGTTAAGATAAGAATAAAAGATATATTTTAAGTTAAAATAAGAATTAATTATTTTTGATAATTTAAGGTAAGAATAGAACACATTTAATAATTTAAGTTAAGTATATAATTTATGTAATAAGTTAAGATAAGAATACTTTTTTTAAGTTACGATAAAGACTAAAGTATATTTTAATTTAAAATAAGAATACAATATATTTTTAGGTTAACACAAGAATAAAATATATTTAATAAGTTAATAAAAATAAAATATATTTTTAATGTTAAGATGTAAAATTAATTTAATATGTGAATTTAAATTAAGATATATAAAATATTAAGAATTTAAGTATATGTAGTCAAATTTGAACCAACTAACTACTTTGGCTCAATGGTTGAGTTATGCTTCTTCAACCTATGAACCCCAGGTTTGATTCCCTTGAGTATCATGTCATCATTTGATTTGAGTGTTAAGTTTATTTTAATGTATTAAAATTAGGACCAAATTGACATAATATATAAGTAAAAGTGACCAAATGTGTAATTATAGAAAATATTTTAACTGCCACATCAGTTTCTCCGTTAAATATTAACGGCAAGTGGCTTAATTAACATTTAAATAGTTGAGTAACCTAACTGAATTTTTTTTAAAAATGATGGTCAAAATGAAAAGGGACAATAGTTAAGTGGTCACTGATATAATTTAACTTTTATTTTAAATAATTTATCTTTAAATTTTTAACTAATTTATGATTATATGTTGAGCTTTTTAAAATTTTATAAATTAAATTAATAGTGCTCAATGTTAACGGTACACAATGAAACTCGTCCTTAATAATAAACTAAATTACTGCAATGTGTTAATTGATGATATCTTGTGATTTGATTTGAAATTGTAATGTGATCCTTAATATAATGTAACTGAATTAGTTTTGGTTGTTAGATTGTTGGGCTCATGTGGACTGGCTCATAACTAAATCTAATAGGTTGTTAGGCTTAATTAGTATAAATAGTTGGGTTGGGCTGTTGACCCATTCATTGCAATCCAACTTCTTCGATCACCTTCTCCCATCACTCACATTTCAGAGCACTGATGCCCGCCCCGTCACAAGAACTATAGTCTAGTAGTCTGACTCATGCCATAGAGAACCCTAGATTTACTTGTCTAGGACTATTAAGACGGCATAACTTGATTGTGCATTATCTTGTCAATCATCATTCATGCCCTACAATCAGGAGACAACACACATTGCTTTATGCCATGCCTCCATTAAAGTGA